AGGGTACAAGAACCCCCTATAGACCACATGGGTGCCAGAAGAACCCCTATAGACCCCATAGGCCCCACTGCTCCTATAGGTACTGGTAGAGCCCCTATAGACCCCACGGGCACCAACAGACCCTTGTAGACCCCATGGGCACCAGAAGAACTTCTACAGACCCCACGGGTACAAGAACCCCCTATAGACCACATGGGCTCCAGAAGAACTTCTATAGACCCCATGGGCACTGGTGGGTCCCCTATAGCCCCCATAGGCACTGGTGGGTCCCCTATAGCCCCCATAGGCACCGGAAGAGGCCCTGCTGCAGCAGGGAGAGGCGGCGGGTCTTGCGGATGAGGACGTCGGCGATCTGACACATCTCGATGCTGATGAAGAAGACGGTGTAGCAGGTGTACTGCTGGTAGCGCCGCTGCTCGAAGGTCTACGGGCAACGTATACGTCAAGAGAGGAACCTATAGGAGCTTCTAGGGACCTCTAGGGGTTGGATGTACCCATTGTTGGCCGTAGCTGTCCTGGAGCTCCTGCTGATGGGTGTCCTCCCATTGTGGGCGTAGGCCCAAGCAGAGAAGAGGCCACCAACCTTCTTGTGCCATCGCCACAAAGTAGTCGGTGAAGCCGGCGAAGGATTGGATGGCACCTGCCAAAGGGGTGGAGGGGTTGGGTGGGGACATCAAGGACCTAGGTGGCTGGGTGGTCAGGGACTCAGGTCGCCAGGAAGCCAAGGGCCAAGGGACCCAGGTAGATGGGTGGCCACGGACTCAAGTGTCTTCGTGGCCAGTGACCCAAGGACCAAGGGACCCAGATGGCCAAGGACCAAGGGATCCAGGTGGCCAGGGACCAAGGCAACCAGGGACCCAAGTGTCTGGGTGCCCAAGGACCAAGGGACCCAGGCAGATGGGTGGCCATGGACTCAAGTGTCTTTGTGGCCAGTGACCCAAGGACCAAGGGACCCAGATGGCCAAGGACCAAGGGACCCAGGCATCCAGGTGGCCAGGGACCAAGGCAACCAGGGACCCAAGGACCAAGGGACCCAGGCAGATGGGTGGCCACGGACTCAAGTGTCTTCGTGGCCAGTGACCCAAGGACCAAGGGACCCAGATGGCCAAGGACCAAGGGATCCAGGTGGCCAGGGACCAAGGCAACCAGGGACCCAAGGACCAAGGGACCCAGGCAGATGGGTGGCCACGGACTCAAGTGTCTTCGTGGCCAGTGACCCAAGGACCAAGGGACCCAGATGGCCAAGGACCAAGGGATCCAGGTGGCCAGGGACCAAGGCAACCAGGGACCCAAGGACCAAGGGACCCAGGCAGATGGGTGGCCACGGACTCAAGTGTCTTCGTGGCCAGTGACCCAAGGACCAAGGGACCCAGATGGCCAAGGACCAAGGGATCCAGGTGGCCAGGGACCAAGGCAACCAGGGACCCAAGGACCAAGGGACCCAGGCAGATGGGTGGCCACGGACTCAAGTGTCTTCGTGGCCAGTGACCCAAGGACCAAGGGACCCAGATGGCCAAGGACCAAGGGATCCAGGTGGCCAGGGACCAAGGCAACCAGGGACCCAAGTGTCTGGGTGGCCAAGGACCAAGAGACCCAGGCAGATGGGTGGCCAGGAACCCAGGTGTCTAGGTGGCCATGGATCCAGGTGGTCAGGGACCCAATGGACTAAGGTGGCTGGGTGGCCAGGGACCCAAGGACCAAGGGATCCAAGTGGCCAGGTATCCATGGACCTGGGTGTCCAGGTGGCCAGGGACCCAAGGACCAAGGGACTCAGATGTCTGGGGACCCATGGACCCTGGTGACCAGGGACTTGGGTGTCCAGGAACCCAGATGTCCAAGTGTCCAGGGACCCAGGTGGCCAAGGACCCTGATGACCAGGAACCTAGGTGACCAGGTGGCCAAGGACTCAGATGTCCAGGAACCCAAGGACCAAGGGACTCAGATGTTTGGGGACCCATGGACCCTGGTGTCCAGGGACTTGGGTGTCCAGGAACCCAGATGTCCAAGTATTTGGGGACCCAGGTGACCAGATGGCCAAGGACTTAGGTGACCAAGTACCCAGATGTCCAAAGACCCAGGTGTTTGATGCACCCCAACATCTAAACCAACCTGATTTCTCCTACACCCAAGGTGGACCTCAGCATCCCAGACCTTCCAGTTCCCTTGGGAAACCAGGAGGTCCCTTTCTTGGCCACATCCCACTTACTCCCTCCTCCAAGGTTGGACCTTGGTGGCCAGGACCTCCCCCACCCACAAGGGGACCCCAACATCTGGTCCATACCGATCTGGAAGTAGGAATAAGCCGCCAAGGGTTCGTTGACCAACCGGTCCCGTCGAGGGTTCCGAGGTTTCAGATGCATGATGTCACTCTCTGCCCTCTCATAGGCCAAGGAGACCGAGGGGAACTGTGGAACCAGGTGTCCAGGTGAGGGACCCCGGCATCTGGGTGAGGAACCCTGATGCTTGGGTGAAGAACCCCAACATCTATATGGAGAACCTCAACATCCATATGGAGAAACTCAACATCTATAGGGAGAACCCCAACATCCATATGGAGAACCTCAACATCTATAGGGAGAACCCCAACATCCATATGAAGAACCCCAACATCCATATGGAGAACCCCAACATCTATAGGGAGAACCCCAACATCCATATGAAGAACCCCAACATCCATATGGAGAACCTCAACACCCATATGGAGAACCTCAACATCCATATGAAGAACCTCAACATCCATATGGAGAACCCCAACGTCCATATGGCGAGCCTCAACATCCATATGGAGAAACTCAACATCTATAGGGAGAACCCCAACATCCATATGAAAAACCTCAACATCCATATGGAGAACCCCAACATCCATATGGAGAACCTCAACATCCATATGGAGATCCTCAACATCTGTATGAAGAGCCCCAACATCTATAGGGATAACCTCAACATCCATGTGAAGAACCTCAACGTCCATATGGCGAACGTTGGTTCCTGGGTGAGGAACCTCAACAACCAGTTTAACATCTATATGAAGAACCCAACATCTCCAACATCTATAGGGAGAACCTCAACATCCATATGAAGAACCTCAACATCCATATGGAGAACCCCAACATCTATAGGGAGAACCTCAACATCCATATGAAGAACTTCAACATGTATAGGAAGAACCCCAACATCCATATGGAGAACCCCAACATCTATAGGGAGAACCTCAACATCCATGTGAAGAACCTCAAGTTCCCCATCATGATGGCTCCTTGAGGACATGGGGACCAGAACAACCAGTTGGTGAATTGGTTGATGGACCTGTGGCATCTGGGTGTGGGGAGACCCAGGTGACCTGGAGTGACCCTGGTATCTAGTTGAGGCACCCAGATGCCTCAGGTCTGTATGAAGAACCCCAGTGTCCATAATGAAGAACCTTGGTTCCTGGGTGAGGAACCTCAACAACCAGTTGATGAACTGGTTGATGGACCCTGGCCTCTTGGTTTGGGGGGACCCAGGTGTCCAAGTTGGGGACCCTGACCTCTGAGAGGGACACCAGCATCTGGGTGACACAGCCAGGTGAAGAACCCAAACATCCTTATGAAGAACCTCAATGTCCATGTGAAGAACCTTGGTTCCTGGGTGAGGAACCTCAACAACCAGTTGATGAACTGGTTGATGGACCTCAGTGTCTGGGTTTGGGTGGACCCAGATGTCCAGGCACTCACGATGTCAGTGCAGAGCTCGATGAAGAGGATGGTGATGCAGCCCAGGGGCAGAGGGACGCTGGCCGTGATGTAGATCAAGTAGGGTGTCAACTCAGGGATGTTCTTGGTCAAGGTGTAGGCGATGGACTTCTTCAGGTTATCAAAGATCAAACGACCTGGGAAAGGTGGAGACAGTGTCACCAGGGTGATGTCACCTCATGTCACCCACCCCTGGTGTCCCCAAGCTCCACCTTGTTCCACGCCGGTGACGATGGAGGCGAAGTTGTCATCCAGCAGGATCATGTCGGCTGCGTTCTTGGCGGCGTCGGAGCCGGCGATGCCCATGGCCACCCCGATGTCGGCCTTCTTCAGCGCCGGGGAGTCATTCACCCCGTCACCTGTCACCGCCACGATGGCACCCTGGGGACATGGGGACCAGAGGTGGTGAGGGATGAGGAGCATCACTGTCCCATCATGATGGCATCTTGAGGACATGGAGACTGGAGGAGTGAGGATCATCACCACCTGCATCATGATGGCCCCTTGAGGACATCCCCATCCCTATCATGATGGCACCTTGGGGACATCCCCATCCCCATCATGATGGCTCCTTGAGGACATGGGGACCAGAGGGATGGGGACAGAGACCATCATCATCTCCATCATGATGGCACCTTGGGGACATCCCCATCATGATGGCTCCTTGAGGACATGGGGACCAGAGGGATGGGGACAGAGACCATCATCATCTCCATCATGATGGCACCTTGGGGACATCTCCATCATGGTGGCCCTTTTGGGACACAGGGACTAGAGAGAAGGGGACAGGGACCATCATCATCATCTCCATCATGATGGCACCTTGGGGACATCTCCATCATGGTGGCCCTTTTGGGACACAGGGACTAGAGAGAAGGGGACAGGGACCATCATCATCATCTCCATCATGATGGCACCTTGGGGACACAGGGACTAGAGGGATGGGGACAGGGACCATCATCATCTCCATCATGATGGCATCTTAGGGACATGGGGACCAGAGGAATGAGGATCATCATCTCCATCATGATGGCACCTTGAGGACATTCCCATCATGGTGGCACCTCAGGGATATGAGGACCATCACCATCTCCATTATGATGGCATCTCGGGGACACGAGAACCATCCCCATCATGATGGCACCTTGAGGACACATCTCTGATCACCCCAATGTCCCCAAGGCCACCCAATGACCTCTTCCCATCTGGACTGGCAGTGACTTCTGGTTGGTCTCCAAGTGTCACCCAGTGTCCCTCAATGTCTTCTCCATGACCTCATGTCCTCCAATGTCCCCATGTCCCCCCCCATAACCCAAGTGTCCCCAATGTCCCCACCAGCCGTTGGCAGCTCTCCACGATGACAAGTTTCTGCTGTGGTGACGTCCGGGCGAAGACCATCTCAGGGTGGGCCCGTAGAAGACCTTCCAGTGTCCCTGGTGTCATGGCCGCCAGCTCTGCCCCTGTCACCACCCGCGCCCGCGCCTGCCTGGAGAGGACATCGGACACCTGGGTCCCATCTCCATGAAGTTGGAGCACCCAAGATGTTGTGGTTTCCACCATGGTCAACTCAGGTGCTGAGGTCACTTCTACTTGGACATCAATGTCCCTCCCCACCACTTTTGGTCCCACTCTTGGAGATCTGGGTCCCACCTGGGGTCCACCCGCTCGAGGGGCACACGAAGACGAGCTGCCACCTCCTCGGGGGTCTCGCTGCCCTCTGAGATGATGCCAACAGCAGCTGCGATGGCTTTGGCCGTGATGGGGTGGTCTCCGGTCACCATGATCACCTGGGGACAGAGGGACATGAGGACATTGGTTGTGGGTCTGGTGGTCACCTGTGGTTCTGGATGGTTCCTCATGGTCACCTGTGGTCCTTCATGTCACCATTGGCTTCTCCATGTCCTTCCATGTTCTTGATGTCCCTCCATCCCCTTGTCTCTTCCATGTCCTTGATGTCCCCCCATCCCCATGTCCCTCCCAGTCCCCATGTCCTTCCATGTCCTTGATGTCCCCCCATCCCCATGTCCCTCCCAGTCCCCATGTCCTTCCATGTCCTTGATGTCCCTCCATCCCCACGTCCCTCCCAGTCCCCATGTCCCCCCATGTCCTTGATGTCCCCCCATCCCCACATCCCTCCCAATCGCCCAAGGCCGTGTCTCTCCATGTCCTTCCATGTCCTTGATGTCCCCCTATCCCCATGTCCCTCCCAATCTCCATGTTCTTCCATATTCTTGATGTCCCCCCATCCCCACATCCCTCTCAGTCCCCACATCTATCTTGTGTCCCCTTGTCTCTCCATGTCCTTGGTGTCCCCCCATCCCCATGTCCCTCCTAGTCCCCATGTCTCCCCATGTCCTTCCATGTCCTTGATGTCCTTCCATGTTCTTGATGTCCCTCCATCCCCACGTCCCTCCCAATCTCCGTGTCCTTGATGTCCCCCCATCCCCACGTCCCTCCTGGTCCCCACATCTCCTACCCTGATACCAGCCGTGCGACACTTGAGCACGGCCTGGGGGACGGTGGCCCTGGGTGGGTCAATCATGGACACCAGCCCAGCGAAGCAGAGTCCCACGGCCACCTCCGGCAACACCTCGGGGTCTGTCCCTGCTGCCACCGTCCCCGCTGGCAGCCAGCGGGCGCAGAACCCTGGAGTAGGGGACACAGGGTGACATTGGGACACATGTGGGTGTTGCATGTCCCACCTACTCCATGTGTCCTCCATCCCATGGCCCTCCATGTTCCCATGTCCCTTCCATGTCACACCATCTCCCCATGGTGTCCCCATGTTCTCCCATCCCCATGTCTCCACCCCCCCATGATGTCCCTCCATCCCTATGTCCCCATCTCCTCATGGTGTCCCTCCATCCCCATGTCCCCCTCATCCCCATTTCCTCCCACATCTCCCCATCTCCCCATGATGTCCCTCCATCCCCACATTCCTCCATCTCCCCATGGTGTCCCTCCATCCTTATGTCCCCATCTCCCCATGGTGTCCCTCCATCC